CAGTCTGGGCAACAAGAATGAAACTCCATCTCAAAAAAAAAAGAAATATATTCTAACGCATATTCAACAGGAACAAAAAGGAAAATGATTAAAGATGTTCAAATAAGTATCTACAATAGCAAAAAAAAGAAAAAAAAAAAAAGAGAGGAAAAAACCAGCCAATACTGGAAGGTTTAGTAACACATCACCCAATATGATAATAGGCAATTACTAAAAATACTTATGACTATTTACGTAGCACTTGGGATTCAATACATATAATTTAAAAACAAGACTAGAAACACAAATGCATGATTATAAGGAGAAAATATTTTATATGGAGGAAGTATAGGAGGTCCTCAAATAACACTGTTTCATTTAAGGTAGTTTCATTATAACATTAAGAAGAAGAAAAGAACCGATTCCCCTCGGGGCACCGCCTGTGCAGAGTGAAGGTTTTTTCCACATTTGCATGGGTTTCCTTGGGATAGTTCAGTTCCTTCCCATCCCAAAGATGTGCCCCTGAGGTGAATCAGCGTGTCTAAACTGTCCCAGTCGGAGTGAGGGGGTGTGGGTGAGTGTGCCCTGCAATGAGATAGGATCCTATCCATGGTGGATTCCCACCTTAGCCCTGAGCTGCTGGGAGAGGGTCCAGCCACCCATGGCCATGAACTGAAATAACTGGGTAAGTAATTATCTTACTTGTCTTTATTAATCTTACATGTATGTATAGCTCACATTAATTTCAATGGTTAATATTAGAAGTGGTGATGTTTTTGTGGCCAGAAATAAGCCACAGAAACTTAACTCTTGTTTATACCAATTAATCTGCGGTAAAATCAGTTTCATTACATGTTGTTTCACTGAAACTCACAGTTTCCAAGAATCTACTGTTGATGTTAAGTGAGGACTTACTGTAATTCAAACAAAAGTATTTGTGCTAGGCTCACAAGACAATGGACAAATATTTAATCTGTCATAATTCCTTATTATTTTAATGGTTTTTCAACCTGACATGAACAAAAGTCAAGCAAAGCAGGATCCTCCAAAGTCCACGCTAGTGGAGTGAATGTGCCTCAGATTCCCAGAAGAGAGCAGTGTGGAATTTCTCGATTTCTACTCCAGACTCCAGAACCCATTCTAAGTGCTAAACGCATCCAAAGCCAAAGCAACCACCATCAACTACAAGGACACCATCTGAGATTGTAACCAGAGGCCTCCTTGACTTCTCTGGGCACCACGATCAGTGACCCACCCTTCTGGTACCAGCTCACCTCCCACTGCCTCTGCACTGAGACACCGTGCTAGTTTTGCTCACAGCCCGGGACTACTACTCCTCCTGCAAACCCCCACATTCCTGTCTCTCCTGAGCTCAGCCTCTGGCTCCAGCCCACCCACCCGTGCATCTGGCGCTATGGTGCTGTGCCCACTGTGCCTGCCCAGCCTCACTTCACAGGGGCCATCGGCCACAGTTCTGCCCTCCCCACCCTCACTGCAGCCCCAGCAGTGGCCAGCATTGTCCCACACCTCCACCCTGCCAACCGCCTTGCCCAGGAGACCCGGACATGATACCCCTACACCAGCTACTCACGCCTGCCATGTGTTTCATGTAAGGTGAAGAATAGAAAGAACAGACTCCAAGCCCAGAATAAATACAAGCCCTTTCCAGGCCTCTACTCTGCTGTGAAACAGAACATCACCTCAGTAGTGATAACTTTCCAAGGACCTCACCAGAAGAACAGCTGAAAGGTCCCTCTCATCCCTTAAAATGGGCCTCTTACTCTGGCTGCTTCTCAATGTAAGTGAATCCCAATAAGTACGGAATTCTCTGAGAAGTAATCCAGACACAATTAGCAAAGTTCTAAAAATTAAGCCTACTCTAGCTTTGCAGAGCAGTATGAAACTACCAAAGGCTTTTTTAAAGCATAGTAACATAATGATTTGTGGTCTACAACCAGAAAATACAGCTCACTTAACCTTAAACTGAAAAATAAAAATGTTTACAGGTCTCTCTGGTCTACTCAGCAAATGGACAGAAATGAGGAATGAAAGGCTGGCTTGAGTTACCTGCATACGGGTACTGGTAGGGCACGGCATACGCCTGCCCATTCGCAGCATAGACAACTTGAGTTCCTGGCGGGTACGCACCACTGTATGGCCCATAGCCGTACGCCTGCTGAAAAGAAACAGGCCCATTAGAAATACAATTGTGAAACTTCTAGTAATGTATTAAAACTGTGGTCTCCAGGTTGCAATCAATAAAATTTAACAATTAGAAAGACAAAACAAAACATGAAACAGTGTGGTTATGCCCCGTTTTAAAATTACTAAAAAACAAACAAAAGCTACAATTGGAGCCCACTTTCAGGCTACAGAATGAAGAAGGCAGAAAAACACAACAAAAGAAGAGAACTGGACTTGCATGAGATTTGGATTTCAATTCAGTTATGCTGTTAACCTGACCTTCAGTAAGTCACCTACCTAGGCCTTCCTTTGCCCATCTGTAAAATGATACGGTTGGACCAGGTGATAAGGAGATTCACCAAAACCACTATCCTCCAGGCGAAGCCAGCCTGGAAGCAGAACCCTCTGTGGCCCAAGTTCAGCAATTCCAGGCACAATATGGAAGATGAGGGTGTCCTGAGCTGTGGTACCTGGGCAGGTGACTGATGGTTTTCGGGCTGCACACACCTATGAAAGGACATGGCTAGAAATGGGCAGCAGACCCACCTCAACCGGCAGTGAATGACCACTATGTGCTGAGAAATACTGAAATCAAGACCGGCCTTCCTGGCATACTCACAGGTAAGAGGAGATCAGACATACTTGCACAGTCACTGTCATTCTGTGACAAGTGCTCTGATACAGGGAGAACAGAGGTGTAGCCAGGCAAATGTGTGTGTAGATCTAAACCTATTATCTTACAAAAGCAGGAGACAAGACTCCCACTTCTCGAAGATGGAGTAGACATTCTTTCCTGTATTCCTCCTGCTAAGTACGACTACAATCTCTGGACATTATATACAAAGCAAACACAAGAAGACTGAAGAGTGAGGAGAAGACAGACGGGCGAGGAACTTTAGCACCTGAGGGAGGACCTGGGTTTCCTTTTTGCTTCACACATCCCACACTGGGTAATGGGGAAGGTGGCAAGCTGGAAGCGCCAATCAGTGCAGACCAAAAAGACCCTGAGAAGAGCTGCTCGCTTTAACAAAGAATCTAAGAAGGAAAGGAGCAACCTAGCAAGACAGAACGTTTTTTGACAATAACCTCTCTACTCCAGAGAACCACCACAGAAAAACCTTCAGCCTCACACCAGCAAAGGCCAAGTGTGAAGAGCCTGAATTTCCATGCTCAGCAGGCACTGCCGGGTCCTCAGAACACCGTTGAGTAAGACTGAGTAGGGGGCTGGGAATTTCTTCCCTGCCAGATGGAAACAAAACACCCCCATCCCGCTGGGTGGTGTCCACGGAGACCGTGTGGGGAGCCAGAACCCCACTCCCACCCAGCAGAAATACGGTGCCCTCCCTATTCCACTGAGACCAAGCGGAGAGTGAGTCTTTCAGGACGTCTCAGTGGCAATCATAGTATCAGCGGAGGCTCTGGGGGAAGCAGTAAGAGCCTTTCCTCTTCTCAGACAGGGTGATTTCAGTGGAGATCTAGTGAGAACCTAAATTCACAACTCCCTCCACAGCGACAAGAAACCTGGACCATGGGTGTCAACTGAGGCTCAAGGTGAGCCTGGACTTCCACCTCTACCTGGCAGCAATAAAGCAGCCCCCGAGAAGCAGGTCTGCTAAAACATGAGATTTAAATAAGATTCAGTCTTACAGTACTTAAAATGTACAGCTTTTGATCAAAAGCCATTCATCACACCAAGAACCAGGAAGATCTCAACTAAATGAGAAAAGACAACAAAAAACACAAACACAAAGACGGCAAAGATGTTGGAATTATCCGGAAAGATTTTTAAAGCAGCTATCATAAAAACTTTTCAACAAGCAATTATGAACATACTTGAAATAAATAAAAAATATAAAGTATCTACCATAAAACAGAAAAATCTCAGTAAAAAGTATATAGA